GTAACCGGTCATTAGTGGGTTCTACAGAGCTCCACCTTAGGCCCAGTGCTCTCCAGTATCTTCATAAATGACTTGGATGCAGGACTTGAAGGACCTTTAAGCAAATTCACCGATGATACAAAACTGAGAGGAGCTGTTGATTCCCTTGAAGGCACAGAGGCCTTGCAGAGAGACCTAGACAAATTAGAGGTCTGGGCAATCACCAACCATATGCAGTTTAACAAGGGCAAGTGCCAAATTCTGCACTTGGGACAGGACAACCTTGGCTATATGTACAGACTGGGGAATGAGATGCTGGAAAGTAGTGCCACAGAAAGGGATCTGCGGGTGGTTGTCAATGACAAGCTGAATATGAGTCAACAGTGTGCCCTGGCAGCCAGGAGCGCCAGCCGTGTCCTGGGGTGCATCAGGCAAAGCATTGCCAGCCGGTCGAGGGAGGTGATTGTCCTGCTCTACTCTGTGCTGGTCTGACCTCACCTTGAACACGGTGTGCAGTTTTGAGCACCACAATATGATAAAGGTATTAAGCTATTAGAGGGCACCCAAAGGAGGCAACAAAGATGGTGAAGAGCCTTGAGGAGAAGCCATATGAGGAGCGGCTGAGGTCACTTGGCCTGTTCAGCCTGGAGGAGAGGAGTCTGAAGTCTCCTCTTGATACTCATCACTGTATACAACTTCCTCACGAAAGGAAGTGGAGGGGTAGGCACTGACCTCTTCTCTCTGGCAACCAGTGACAGGACCCAAGGAAATGGCCTGAAGTTGTGTCAGAAGAGGTTTAGGTTAGATATTAGAAAATGGTTCTTCACTCAGAGGGTGGTTGGGCACTGGAACAGCTCCCCAGGGAAGCTGTCACAGCACCAAGCCTGACAGAGTTCAAGAGGTGTTTAGACAATGCTCTCAGGCACATGGTGTGATTCTCAGGGATGTCCTGTGCAGAGCCAGAAGCTGGACTAGATGATCCTCAAGGGTCCCCTCCAACTCTGATTATTCTGTGATTCTGTGATTTCAGTTTTCCCCATGTAACAAATAAATAAAATGACCTTGTTATACTGGGAAGTGATGACAGCCATTGCAGACTATAGATGAGACAGACTAAACCTAGCAAAGCAACATGTGTGACTGATTTCTGCTCTTACATAGACCAGTACAAATGGACACCCGTGCCATTAATCCTGATTGTGGAAATAAAATCAGAATATGACTGTATGTATTGTGTTTAAAGACTGCTTTTTGTGCCTGAAAAAAGCAGCTCATGCACATACTTAAGTCCTTTCCTGACTGATAACTATGGGATATACAAGCTCTATGTATGATCTATTTTTTACACATACCTTCCTGATACTTTTGAACAGACATGAAGGAGTTTATTCTTAACTCTTCCTGGAGAAACAGGGGAGTATGGTAGTTTTATTCTTGTTTTACAAATGCAGAATTGAGGTATAACTAACTTGGATGATTTGCTGTACCGGTGAACAGAAGACTTTAGTAAAGGGGCAAGACCAGAAATAGAAACCAAATCTCTGCTTTTGCAGCTTATGGAAAGTTAACGGTCTCAGTCCCTCTGCCTTCCAAATCGCACTGAGCTGGGGTAGGTGGGAACGTGCCAGCAGTGTTGTAATGCTTTAGATCTTGTAAAGATACAGTCTGTGGGTTCTGCGTACTGAGATTGGCTCCTCTGCTGCAGTCAGTGTTTCTGTTTTGAAACTTCACTTACCACAGCAGAAACCACACTCAGAGGAGGGAAATTAAAATTAAAAAAAAAAAGTCAACCTTACATGTTACTGGTTTAAAAATATTTTGACACAACAGATAAATGCATGACTCTGGCTACTTTAAAATGTTCTTGAGGACTAGAAATATTTTTATGTAAGGATGGACAAATGTGGAAAGGAAGTAATTTCTCTTGTCTGTGATGAGCTGTCTGCCTCCAGCCAGTTCAATTTGGTGACTATGGGTTAACCTGGTAAGTAGTACACAGTTTAAAAACTTGTCAAGAAAAAAAATGTGAGAAGTGAGCTGTTAGGGATGTTTTTAGCTGTCCTATATCTGATTCAGCAGCACCTCTGCCAATTTTGACCTTTTTATTTACTACACTGCAAAGTGTAGTAGGCCTATCAAAATGGGGCTAGTGATGACCTTAAGTCTGTCCCACTGCCCCTAAGCAGAATCAGCTAAATGAGTGTCATTTCTGATGAGTTTTTCTAATCATCTAACCATCCAGCAACCCTCCCATCCTCGTGTCGCTCCTCTTTCCTCAAGGGATTAGTCCCAATGCCTCTTTCCTTATTGAAACTGAACTCTGTTCCTTTTCATCTTTGTTCGTCGTGGACATGGAGAATAGATTATCCTTCTCAAGTAAAGACTTGCAGTGTGCCCTGCCATTGCTCCCTGGAACAGGTGCATCTCTGATAAGTTAAACTGCCAAGAAAGCAGAGATGAAGGCTGATGGGCATGACCTCCATCTCCCCTGGAGAGAGAGGTGCACCTGGTCTGGTCCATTCTAACTAGAAAGATAAACCACCCTATGGAACAGTTTATCTTCCTCTGCTTTTTATGACCACTGCAAGGTAGATGCCTTGCTCAGAGCCCAAGATACCAAGATAAATCGCCTCTTCATCTGCTGCTGTTGCAGGGTTAGAGTATTTTTAATCTTTTCTCCAGAGTTTTTTGGAGTGTGCAATGTATATCCTGTATTCTTCTCTAGACTCTCTTTTATTATTTAATCTCTCCTTGTTGGGCTTTTTAGGTTGGGGGTTTTTGTTCAGTTTTGTTGTTTGTTTGGTTGTTTGTTTTTTCATGTGAAGCCTTTAATGACTTTGATTCCCAGCAATATAAGAAAATATCTACATTTTATTTTCTCCTGCTTGGGAATTTTAGCAGGAAGCTTATGCCTCAGTCCCTCCTTTCCTCTGTACATGGATTGCCTGGTTGCCTTTCTCAGGGCTTGAGCAGCATTGTGTGATTTCTTGGGGGTGGGGGTGTTAAATTTTAATTTTTTTAAAACCTCCTATTCACAGTTGTTGATTATGCAATTGTTAGGCATCCTGTAGTGTTAGATGCTGGGATGTGGAATGAAAGCAAGAATGAAACTTGATATATGGATGATTTCTCATAGCTCACATAATGCTAGTTTTGGTTTGTTCTTCTTAGTAACATATACATTAGTGCTTTAGGAGCTTCTTTATTTTAATGAGCAGATGTTGCAAGTTTTAGACTGTTTTCTTGGCTCTCCAGGGCAGTTTCATCTCTCCATTTGCATTCACTTAAAGCAGTTGCAGAGGACATTTATTCTGGGGGAATTCAAAACCAGTGTACGTAGAGTAATTCCTGGAGGTCTCTTTCTGCTGCTTTCATATCCTCTGGCATCCTGAAACTTTTTTGAATTTCATTATAGCTGAGTCTATAGTTTGAGGTCTTACAAGCTGACTGTCATGGCACATTTCTGTGTCCAAGTGGCAAGGAAATGGGACTGTCTACATACTCTTTGTAAATAAATAAGCTTGCCCTAAGGATTATGCCTGACAAAACTTGTTCTCTGACTAGAAAAAATGAAAGCCACTGAACACTATCTAACTGCTAGAGCTAAATGAGCAACATTAGAAATACCCTCCTTAAACAGCTTTGTGATCTGAAGATACAGATGCAGGCACATACTGGAGTTTGTTTTGAACATCAGCATACAGCTAGAGGCTTGGAAAACCCATAATTTACACACAGATGGTTTAAAGTAATTGGTCTCTACAGAATTTCAAGGAGGTTGTTTTAATAAAAGTTTTGAAGATAAAAGCTTTTACTGTTTGGCTTATAGACACTAAGAAGCCTGCAAGTTAATCAGGAAAATGGTTGGAACTTTTGCTTACAAAAGTGACTATATGTTACATACACAGGAGGATGAACACTATTACTCTAGTAATAGTGAAATATGCTACAAAAAACCCCTTAAGGTCTTCTTACAGAAGTAACAGGTCAAAGACTATTCATTTGGACAGGTTTCCACTGCTTGTGTTGATATGTTTCGTTTCCCCCTTCCTTTAGCTCTTTTTGTTATCTAGAGTTACTGTTTTGTTATCTAGAACTAGAATTGTGTCCCTGGAGGAAGAGCTTAAAGGGTTCTGAAAAGCCCTGAAGTCACAGTCACTTTTTCTCTTCCCCATTATAGTCTTATGGTTACTTGCAATGGGAAGCTCCTTCCCAACAGTGGCAGCTTCAGGGCTAGTCTCAAGGTTGCTTCCCACGGGAGCAGCTCTCATGGCAGGAGGTGCTAGGGCTTGAGTCATAACTTTGAACCTGGGATTCGTTCCCTAGGCCCACAGGCTCTGTTTTGCAAGCAATTTGGTAATGTGAGCATCTCCATTACATTAATTAGATCAGGAGTGGGTATTGGAAAGATGTGAAACCTGGTTTTCAAGAGACCCAGTCTTGGTTGTTTATTAATTTCAAAAGCTGGTGCAATGAACAGCAATTTAGATGAGTGACCTAACAGTACATGTTTGCTTTTGACTTTCTGGATAATCAAGAGGGATGGTCAAATGATGCTGGGGCTGTAGTGATCATCCAGTCTGATTCTCCAGTGTAAAGTTGTACCTCAGATTGAAAAGCTGTGTTTGCAGTAGATTCCATGTGTCTTTTTTAAAAATACCTGCTTTGACTTTTAAAAGTCCACTCAGCTACAAAAAGAGTCTAATTAAGCATTAAAGATATTTTTACAATTTCCAGTGTTAAATTGTTCTGATATTCAAATACATTTACAGTTTTAAAAATGTGTGTCTCTTCTAGGCCCAGCTTTTCTAGCTTCAGCTTCCAGTCCCTGGGTATTCCCATGCCAGTGCTTGTTATAAATGGCAAAGGCCATTCCATAGCCAACAACCTTGTGCTTTGAGTGTTAAGAAACATAGAATTTTATAGCTTATTTAAAAATAACTTTTTTGGTTAGCTTGAAAGCGTATGTGTTTGCAGATTCTTAGTGCATGTTGTTCCTTTCTTATTTTCTTTCTCAGGAGAGTTGTATTGTTCTTTGCCCAACCCTAGGAATGTCCATTTTGAATCTACAAATATGAAGAATGTCCTTCACTGGTCACCACCAGAAGGTACGGGTGATGGAGTAGTCTACAAGGTGAAGTATTCAGTGTAAGTTCACTTGGTTTTTATATCTTCCAGTGACTTTTATTTTAGCATTTTAAATAATTTTTGCAAAAAAAAAAAGTTTTTGTGAACTAGGGCTGATATAAAGTAAAGAAAGGAGAACTAAATTGTGGGCTGGAGGTCAGCAATGTGGTCTTTAACTTTTGCTTCTGGCACTGTTTACTTCACATCCAGTATAAGGAGACATTCTTCCTATGAAAGAAGTGTAGGATGCAACATTCTAATTATATAGAAACTCTCAGAGGTATTCCTGAAAAATGAGACAGAAGGATGAAGGACTGTGCTGTGGATTGGCATCTGTCCACATGAGTCTTCTGTACACATTTAAATGGATCTGGAGATGTAGCATTTAATACAATAACACCCAGAGTTTCATTGGTCTTTCCTAACAAATCCACCCCCTAGATTTCTTCTTATCCAGCAAGCTTTTCTTGCCTGGAAGAAAATCCACTGATATTATCAAGTATTGTAGAAAACAAGTAATGTGATTGGAAGCAGGCCCTTATATTGTCCAGGTCTACATCTTTGTAGGTTATAAAGGAATTTGAGTGATAACCAGAATCCATTCCCTTTATTCCCACCGTGTCATTCTGAAAGATGGAGATGGAAGTTTAGTTTCTAAATAGGTGTAGCACCGTTGTCATGGATTATGTAATGGTCCCAATCTTTATCTCTAATATTTACCCTTCCCTCAATCTAGGAACATTTTTGGAACACTAAAAGAAATGTAGATCTCTAGAAGTTTCCTGTAACTTGAACTGTCTACTAGAAAAAGCAAGGAGTTGCTTCAACAGTTGGAGACTGCAACCATTTTTGCTCAGATCTTGCCCTCTAGGCTAACAGAGGAGTGACATAAACCACTGCCTAGAAAGGGGGAGAGTGCATGGCAGTTATGGAATGAATGAATGATAATTGTGCAGGAGGAAGAATGCTCGGAGAGCACCGGCTATGCTGACTCTGCAGGACCAGCTGGTCTACAGAATAGTCAGTAGCCATAGGTATGGCCATATTTTACACTGAATACAAAAATATTCATATGTGCTCCTACCCACCTAGGAGAGCAAGGCCTTGTGATAGGTGAAAAATGCAGGTGAGTGGTCCTGTCCGGCTATCATGCAGAAGCTGTCACATGCCCTTACTAATTAGCAGCCGAAGGGAAATTCTTAACAATGTGAATTTGAGTAGCAGGAACTTCTGAACAAATCCAAACTGGAATTTTCCAAAGGAACTTTGATTTCTTCTACTAGTGTCGTTGTTCATAGAATCATAGAATCAACCGGGCTGGAAAAAGCCTCCGAGATCATCAAGTCCAACCCTACGTGGTTACTAGACCATGGCACTAAGTGCCACATCTAACCTCACCTTAAAAACCCCCAGGGACGATGTATCCACCACCTCCCTGGGCAGCCCATTCCAATGCCTGATTACTCTCTCCATAAAAAATTTCTTTCTAATTTCTAACCTAAACCCGCCCTGGCAGAGCTTGAGTCTGTGCTCTCTTGTCCTACTGCTAGTTGCCTGGGAGAAGAGACCAACCCCCACCTGACTACAACCTCTTTTCAGGGAGTTGTAGAGCAGATATAGGCCACTTTTTTTGGCTAGAAGGGTTTTGGTGTTTACTGTATTCCAATGGATCTTTCTTTTGAACTAGAAAAAGAAATAACAGCCATCAATGAGTAGTCTCCCATCACTTGTCTTGGAGACTCTGAGCATCATCTGTGTCCATACATGAGTATGAGTCACTGACCATTCTGACAGAACTCTTTGTCTCTAGATAAATAATTATCCTGACTCTGTTATCATGTCTTTAGAGTTTAAACTAAAGCTGTGGAGACTTAAGTTGAGAGATCTCTGGTCTGTGCAAGCAAAACTTGACTTACACTGGTATCAATGACATCCTAATTAGTTTCATCTGGCCTCTTCTGGATAGGGCCTACTCTGATTTCTTTTTCATCAAAAACTTGTGGAAGTCTTGTGCTTCAACTCGGCTGAATTTGGGAATTCCTTGATATTGCAGATTTGTGCTAAACAAGTGAACTGTTTTATCAGCCATGATACAGCACAGAAAATTATATTATCAGGTGACTAATATCATGGCAATAGCTTTTGTGCAGCTCCTTTCTCTTTCTTTTCAATATAGATATGGTGTTGGAAAATGGATTAGAAAGCCAGAATGCAGGAATATCAACAGAACATGGTGTGACCTCTCCAGTGAAACCTCTGACTATGAAGAACAATACTACGCGAGCGTTAAAGCCTTTCTAAACGGGATGTGCTCTGACTGGATGGAGACCACTCGATTCAACCCTCTTACAGACAGTAAGGAGAGCTAAGCACAGAGCCAGATGTTCAATGGCCTTGATTGATACTGTGTGCTCAGACTGCATGTGCCTTCATAGCATATGGTGTTTCAGTTTTAACATGAAGTTACATTTTTTTGCAGTTGTTTCACATTTATGCTTTTGGCAGAAGTAATTGAATTAATCAAATTAGAATTTGGATATATGTGTGTTTTATATATATATATATATATATGTAGTCTTATATATACACTGAACATTATGCTATGGTAAAGCTTTACTCAAGGCAAATAAAAGGTGTGGCACATCCACAGTATAAAGAGCTCTGATTTTGAAAAGGCATTATTAAACCAAGCAGTAATTGTCCTCTAGAGCCCAATATCTCTTATCTGTGCCAGATAATCTGAGAACATACTGGTAATTTAGCTTGTTTTAGCAAATTGAGTTTCAAGGTTGTTTATCTTGTAAGCCTCAGGAATTCCTAGGCAAAATTCCAGGTCAGTGTTCACCTTCTCATTGTAAAGATCCTCTTAGTTATCTGATCAAATAATTTTATACTGACATAATTTGAAAAATAAATTGTTCAAAGCCCTACTTAGACTCCCCCAAACATTAAAAAAATTAAATATGAGTGACTTTAAGCAACTAGTCAAGTCAGTATGCCTCTCTCTGCTGCATTTGACTGCTTTTTGTGCCTGTTCATTTTCCCAGCTAAAATTGATCCACCCATGGTAAGTGTATCGTCTACTGACAAATCTATTTCAATCATTCTGACTGCTCCTGAGAAGTGGAAGAGAAGTCCTGAGGAAGAATCCATATCTCTGCTTCAAGTGTATCCTGGCCTGCAATACAACGTGTCTGTCCTCAACAAAAAGACAAAGAAGCGGGTAAGCTTAGACAAGGCTGTACAACTGCTCCTGTTAAATCTGTGCTCTGTGCTTCTTCAAGTGCACTTTGTCTGTAACAGCAAGGATCGAAATAGGATTATGCCACATAGGACTTGTAAGATCATTCAGGTTGGAAGGGAGTTCAAGAGGTCTCTAGTCCAAAGTTGTGTTCAAAGCAGGATCAACTGTGAGCTCAGACCAGGTCACTGAAGGTTTGTCTATATGCATCCTGAAAACCTCCAAGCATGGGGGCTGCACAACCTGTTCCACTGCTTGACTTTTCTCTTAGGAAAAAAGTATTTATACTCAATTTGAACCTCTCTTTTTGAACTTATGTCCAGTGTCTCTCATCTTCCCACCAGTCAGCACTGTAAAGAGCCTGGCTTTGTCTTCTTGATGACCTCCCCAGTCACCCTGGGGGCTGTTGTTAGGTTTCCCTGAAGCCCCACCTTTTCCCCAGGTGGAACAAACTCCAGTCCCTGAGCTTCTCCTCACAGGGCAAGTGTTCCAGCCTGTCACCATCTTGGTGACACTTTAGTAACCCACTGGAGTGGGTTACTAAACCCACTCCAGTCTGACAGTCTTTTTCTGTATTGGGGCCGGGGGTAGGGAACAAAACTGGTGACAGTATTCTAGGTGTGATCTGATGAAGATTGGCTGAGTGGAACAAGATGATCCCACTTCTCCTATTAACACAGCCCAGGATGTCAACTGCTGTGAGGGCATGTTGCTGGTGCACCTTGCTGCCTGTCCCCAGTCCTCTTTGGATGATCACCCCAGTTCAGTGATCAGTTACAAAAACATTAATTTGTCTCTTCCCATCCTTAAGGCACAATCTCTTTATGGGAAATCTCTGAATTTCCTGAAAACAGGCAGAAACTTTATACCAAAAGGTCACCCTCTGTCAAAAGGGATATTAAAATGCCAAGATTAGCCATTAGAGGTAGACAAAAGTGGTTTGATTTTTTGGTTGGTTTCGTTTGAGTTTCCCGTTTTGTTTGTTTGTTTGTTTGTTTGTTTTTTCATAAAGATGCTTGACATATAGCAATTACTTTTCTTTGGTCTCCAAGGTCTGCATAAGACCTGTTATCCTAAGGCCCCTATCTTTACCAGAATATTGGAGTTTGAAAGATTTTGTGCAACTGTACCATTGGCTTATGTGTCAGGACAGGGCTGGAGTGATGCTTTAGCTCTGTTCCAACATCAGTGCGAGAATGTGGGCTAGTAGTGAAACACAGTCCTGCTTCATATGAAGCATGAAATTGTTCAGTAGTGGTTGAAGAATGTTTGATTGGAAAATATTCAGAGAGAATATAACCTAATAAATAACCTGCATTTGAAAAAAAAGGATGCAGCTGGCATTAATCTTTCCAGAAAATGTGTGTGCTTGTGACCTTTCTGTAACTGAAGAGTTAAAGGGGGAAAAAAGTCTTATTTTAATGTCTTCCAGTGGTTCTTCTCCATCAGCAACAACACCTTGATTGTGCCCTGGTTAGAGCCTGGAACAGCTTATTGTGTCAGTGCACAGATACATGTTACTACTCCACTTTTGGACAGTGGCTTTTCCAAAGAGCATTGCATTGCTACCTTGAAAGGTATGTGTAAGCTGGCAAATTAGGAAAAGAAGAGGCAAGTTAGAAAGAATCATGGTGACTGAGGTTGTGAGGTTTTTATGTATCTATTCCGAGAGTGAAAATTAGCATCATTTCTCCCTTCTCTGTGCATTTGTACCAATGAGAAAATCTTTGCCTTTAATGAAACATAGCTGGGAACTACTGACTGCACCTCTGAAGAAAAGTGTCTGCATTCTCTGAGTCCTGATGCATGAAGAATGTATTTTCTCCTTGAAGGAGGTTTGGGAGTGACAGAGCTGGGTCAGTCTAAAGTTAGCAACAGGAGAAACTGTTACTTCCTTTTAGAATTGAATTTGTAATTAAGACAATAATAAAAAAATTGTCCTGTACCTCAAATGTATTTTTTAATTTCCTGCAAATTCCTTGTTTGTTTAAAACATTTACATTGTTTCCAAAAAGCAATGTGATGAATGTACACATTACTGTCTGAACACATTTAAAAGTTGCTTATTACAATGAAAACTTCTGTTCTGTTAACAGATGAAACAGTGGGTGAGACTATAACAATTGCATTTGGCTATGTCCTGCCTACCATGCTGGCTGTCCTTTTTATTTCAGTGACATGCTATTTAGTGCACAAGTATATTCACGTCCACAAACAGAAACATCCAACAAACCTGGTAAGTGTTTTCTGTTGCAGGGGGACACTGCCAACCTTAGCACTCACAGCAGAGCTGTGCATTTTCCAGGCTTCCAAGTAGGTTTAGAGGAAACCATGGCTAGTTCCAAATGAAAGCTCTAGTTACCACTCAGATCAAGAAAAGAAAACCACATTGAGGGTTATTAAATCCAAGGAAAAGCAGAGTAATAACTCAAATTAGAAACTGTGTCTTAAAAGATAAGGTCTGAGGTGCACTGAGGCAAGCTCTGTTAGGATGTCAGAACTCTTTAAATTTATCTAAAATGAAGCACTGTACAGATTCAGTTGAACAAAAGTTCTTAATGTGTTGAATTCAGAAACAAGAAAGGAAGGCAATTAAACAGTACAGAAACCCCAGGATGTTTTCTTGGACTATTACTGAGTAATACAAGATTTTTCCACTTGACCGTGATTGTGAAGGATTTGGCACTTGTACATCATACAAATAATTTAATCTGGATTTCAAAACACTGTGCCATTTCTTAACACCCAAAAATGTATGAGCAAACACATTCTGTTATTTAGACAGCCAAAAATGGTTGCAAATTTCTTAGCACAGCAGAGTTTGCTCATTTTTAGAAAGAACACATAAAGTCTATGAAATGTTACTGATTTCCAGCTCATGAGACCAGTGGAGCTTTCTCACAGCTATCTCTAAACAGGTTGCTCAACCATAAACATGTGAGTACCATAATGAATTAACACTTTGGTGTTAATCCAATCTGCATGACACTGTTAAATGGGAGATACAAGGCAGTTGGTTTCAACATGCTGATCTTTCTGAAGAAATTTAGAGCAGCACAAAGGTGACAGGAGAAATCTTCACAAGGGACTGTGGGTTCAGAAGGGCTCAGAAGGAGTAGAGCAGCTACTGCTGTGGTGTGTTCAGATGTGCACAGAGACACTTGCTGCACTTGACAAGGCACTGGCTTGCTTACACCGTGGGATCACAGAGCGGTTTGGGTTGGTAGTGGCCTTCAAAGATATCTAGTTGAACTACCCAACAGTGGGCATGGACATCTGTCACTAGATCAGGTAGCTTAAGGCTCCATCTAACCTGACTTTGAACACTTGCAATTATGGGCATCCACATCTTCATGGGAAACCTATTCCAGTGCCTCACCACCCTCACAGTAAAGAATTTCTTACTTACTTCCAGTCTGGATATACCCTGTTCAGTTTAAAACCATTGCCTGTTGTCACTACAGGCCCTGGTAAAAAGTTCTTTAAAAATTCTTTATCCTGGAATGCAGGGCATGGTATGGGGAGACAGCTTGGTCTGCCTTAGAGAGCTAGCAAGACAGAGCTCTTTATAGTCCAAGAGCATAAAGGGCTACTTAGTGAAAAAGTCCCACTCAGTAGCAGACTAATTCCAGGAGGGTTTTTTCTGTAATAAAGGTATAATTTGTATGCTGGGGATTTTTTTCATGCTCATTGCACTTTTAAATTACCATCTTGAAGCTTTGATTTTATTTCTTCACCTCTGGATTCAGTTGATGCTAAGGCGGCAAATGAATATAGACCTGGTATATTGATTATTTTCTCGGGCTTTCCCAGCCTACAGACTATTCCTGTCCTCCTTCCATGGGTACTCTGTGTGGCTGGGGTGGGGTGGAACAAGCAGTCAGTTTTGGTCCAGCTTATCTGACCTGCAGGACCTTTCAGACTGCCTGGTACATTGATTAGTGGTCTTAGTCTTCCATTGAAGCTTGTAAGCACTGAAATGCATCTTCTTGTTGTTTTTCCTATTGCACTTCATTTTAGTGACTGTCCACACAGTATTTATTCCTGTTAGAAATGTTACTAATTTCAGAAAGATTCCTGTTTAGTAAAACTAGATGATTTCTCACAGACTCACAAAGGCAGCCTGTAGCAGACAATGCAGGCTCTGTACACTGCACTTCCACCTGATGAACAGCTTCCTCCCTGAAAGGAAACCTGGTATTATTTTATTCTCTGTAAGCTATACCTTAACATGTTACCAGACTCTGCTTGTGGGAACTGGTTTTGACTGCACTTTCTCTTCACTTGTTAAAAAGAATGAAATAGATTTGGTAATCTTTGATCCAAGGACAACTGATGTTTTCTTCATAAGCCACTTCAGTTTATGCTGGTGGAAACAAAACCAGAATTTGACAGATTTGTTCTAAGCATTATTTTGAAATGGGAAAGATGAGAAAAGAGATATTAGAACTGGTCATAATACAGTTTTACTTTGGATAGAATAAAAAATGGGAAGCATGTTGACATTCCTGAATGTTTATGTGATGAGCCTTCTTCCCTGAATTGAAATAACCTCCTGATAAGATCTAACCTAGCCTTTTATTTTTAAATTATATGACCCTACAAGAAGCAGAAAGATGGTATTTTTACTATAATGCTCTCAAAGTTTTTCTTACTTTCCAGGTATGGCAGTACACTGACAAATGCAAGGAAAGGGTTTTTATACCATGTGAAAAAATAGTGGTCAACCTCATCACTGTCAATGGAGATGAGCATAAGGAATCCACTCATCTATCGGAAAGGAAAAGTCCCCATTACTACACTGTATACAATGGCACTGAAGGGAAGGATTTGCCTTCTAAAGAAGCGCTGGAAACAAAACACTTGCCTGATATTTCACATGAAGTGATTTCACCCAAAGAGGATATTTTAGTGGAAGGGGACCAGCCCGGAAACTGGACATTTTATGGCCAGCCTGGACCAAAGAATACTGTGAGAGAGAAAAATGCAGAGGCTGTGGAGTATGAACATGATGTGAGGGCTGAAGACTTCAGTCCTGGTCAGAAACTAGAAGAGATTTCTACCCCCAGGAGACTACTGGGTGAGCCACAAATTGCTTTGGAGAACTTGGCTAGTGTGATAACAAGACAGTCATATTCCCCCCAGCTAGAAGTGAGACTGGCAGACCTTTGTTTGGGACAGAAAACAGAGGAACTTAACTTGAAGGTTTGCGATGCAGCAGATGAATTACCAGGTGAGACACATACCAACTTTGTGGACCTGGATACTGAAAAATCTAAGCAGACATCCTATCATCAGCTGGAAAGATTCACACAGGGCCTCGCAGAGAAAGAAGGTGAACAGACCATATTAGTTGATTGGGATCCTCACAATGGAAGACTATATATTCCTACTTTGTCCAGTGTTGAAAATCAGGTGTGTGAAGGAGTATTCAAGTGTGATGATCCTGACAAAGAGGGAATTTTGTTCAGACTGTATGAGAAAGAGGTATTTGGTGAACCCTCAGAGGACCAAGAAATGTATCTCCTGCAGTTCAAGGAACAATGGGGACTTCATGTAGAAATGGAAGACTGAAAAATATTTTTCTAAAATACTCAAAAATGCAAAATCTTGTTTACTTTGCTAAAGGGAGTGATGGACTCAGTGGAGTAGGAACATCTTAATGTATTGATGTTTATAACAGTTTCCAGATGTCATATAAATGATTGTGACTTCCATCATAAACCTCTTGTGTAAAGTGTGATGGTTATTAAATTATATTCTTTTTTAAAAAAATAATAAAATTAATAAAAAGAAAAAATATTTAAAAATAATTATTTTTACAGAGGATGCTTTCACATTGTAATTCCTGCTCAAAAAACAATTATCAGCATTTGTTATCAGTTATTTTTAGCAAATAAAAAGCAACAAGATGACATTTTTATGGGCTATTTCATGTATCTTGATACAATGCAGTCATTTCTAGATCTCACACCTGCTACTTGTAGTGGTTTGTTCTGACTTTTGTGCAAGTTGAGGGCATTCCAGTAGGTATTTTGTTTCTGTTTTATAAATATTCTTCTGCTGAATGATATTATTTATTTCTCTTGAAAGACCTGTCTGAGGTGTGGCGTCCTTTCCATACTGTGCTGTTCTGATAAGGAAACAGAAACAATACTTTTTGCAGGTGTTAACAGGTATAAGGAAGAAGAAAGAAAGCATTAGTTGTGTTTTAAACTATGGAAAAAAATGTAGCACAAAGGATTCAGTGAAACACCTGTAATTTTACTGGGCAAACTATCACCCAGCCTTAGACACAAGCAGTAGAGCATCTGTATGACTGATGTCCTGCAAGTGTCTGTTCCTCTCTGCTGACTTCAAAGACAGCTTGGCAGGACTAGCTCAGACAGAGAGGTCTGCCCCAGACACACCATTATGACTTCAGACAAATCATACTTGCATGGCAGACCAAGAAAGTGTACCTGGGGGCTTTCTCTTGTTGCCTGATGTCCTGTCCAGCACTTCTGATGCAAGCTCACTTTTCTTTGTGTCATATGGCATTAATTTAGAATAGTAAAATTACAGGATATTCTAGAAATTACTTACTAGGGCAGATGACATTTTTCTTTTCAAAGCCTGTCACTTTTTCACTTAATAGATTTTTTTTTAAAACGAAAAAACCCTCATAGTAATGACTTGTTTGGTTTTGAAGAGGATAAGCAAAAAAAAAAACAACCAAAAAACCACACTTTTTCTGTGTTGTTTAAAATTTGTACCCTCCAAATTAGGTACATGGTTAGGTATTGTATTTTTAAAGCATGACCTTTACCTATATCTTTTCTCTCAGCTAATGTTTTTGTTGAATGACCTTGGCATTTTCTGTGACCATTCATCTTCTGAATACTTCAACTGTAGGCATAGACTTTAAAACCAGAAATGGCAGTAGAATATTTCATGCTGATGACTCCTTATGAGGAGGTAAAAATATGTCCTCAGCTGCTCCTACAACAAAGATACAAATCATGTAACAATGTTATACCTAAATACTTGATAAATTCCTTTGTGCATCAAGAGGTTCCCAGAGGAGAGTGTGAAAGAAAAAAATATTGGAGATATGAAAATTTTTGCCACTGTCAGCCTAGTTTAAGTTATCCAAAATCTTTCTCAGTATTTCCTAAATATTTCTTAACTAACCTCTTTATGCATAATCTCCTCATTTTCTTTTGCCATGTGGGGCCTATAACTCATAGGTGGAAAACAGTTATTTGCTTTTCTCCTGTAGTCTGTTGAATTTTACCCAGTTACTGCTGCCCTAAGATCAATCATTTGTGTTTAGTGTACGTCTTCCATACGGAAGGATAAGGATGCTCCAGCTTCATAAATACTTTGGTAGGTGCAAACCAACTTTCCTTGAAGAGGAAGGCATCCCTTATTTTGGGTTTGTATTTCCCCTGGCCTTATTTTCCAGCTGCTGATGTCTGCTGCTGCTTTTCCTGGTAGGTAGGCAATGCTTGCACCAAGAGTTACTGCCTGTAAGGATATTTAACATACCATAATCAAGTCATTGCTGATTAAAATTTGAAGACTAGGTAACTAAGCCATGGAATCTCACTTCATTAAGTTCTTTAGTTGTTGTAATCTTTCACTGCCTCTTAGCCTGTTTTGGTTTGGTTTGGTTAGTTTTTACTTTTTAGTAACAGTTAAGTTGTGTAACATTTATTTCCTCTTAACAGATGAGAGCACAAGATACTGAGATTCTTGCAATCATTTTCATGATAAATTTATGCTCAGAAATAGTGGTTAATTTTTGGACCGAAATATTTGTAATAGAAATTTGCAGCACTTTTAGTGTTGCTTCCTTTGGATCAGAATTTGCATTAAATTCAGAACTGATACTAGATTATGCAAACAGTCCTTCTTCATAAATTTGTAAGATATACTTTCAAAGTGTTTTCAAGATGATCATACCAAAAAAAATCCCAGCTGGTGGAAACACGTTAATGAACTTTCTTTTATACGCAAAAGAATTTTTCAGGTTACCTAGTCAAGTTCTGGAATTGATGAGGCAGAAAAAGTAGTGCCAATTTCCATCAATATGATGCCAGTAAATTGTTGATGGCTTTTATAATTACCTCAAAGTTACTCATATTTTTTGTGAAAATTTTCTAATTGTGTTAAACAAATGAAACTGCTCAAGCACTACCTTCAGCAAACCAGTCAGCAAGGAGCAAAATACTTTAATGTAAAATTGTAATTCTACACACAAGAATTTAGACAAAAGGCAACTACTGAGTACAGGGAAAAGTAAAACAATAAGAGAGCTGAGATGTTCCCAGTCTTTACTGCACTTTACTAAGCTTTGTTTAGCCACATTTGGTAGACTTAATGCAGCCAAAAGCAAGGATATATATCTAGAAGCAAATATCCAGACTACAGACTATAGTCAAACCTGTAGCCATGAAATCAGTGATTTTGAAAATGATGTAGGATATTAATAGAACAGAGTAGCAGTTTGTTGAGGACAAAAGGATTTACATTTCCTAATTGCAATGGCAATGGAAACAGAACTTTACCTGTATTTACAGGGCTGATGTGACTACTACTGGAAGAATTGCATCCAGTTTACAATATAAGACAAGCCATGAAGATAAAAGGAAAATACTACTATAAAAGGCTACAGCTATGTTCTTTAAAGCTTGAAAAACAGGAAGCTTAGCTATCAAAATGAGACCTACTGGTGATGAAACTGATAGCTGGGTATGGGAACAGACAGTTTTGGAAAAGGAACTATAATTTCTAAGCGTGGTTTTGCTGCCTCCTACCTAGACAGAGTGACAGGGTTGTTGAAGGAGAGACTGAAACTGGCAGCTGAGTGCAGGATCCCTGTGGTCTGGCATAGAGCAGCCCTGGAAAAGCTACTGCAGAATGAGAATGACTAGATGGAAAAGTCCAAATACGGCAGGGAAAAATGCAGCATGAGTCATGTGCCTGGTGCAGTAAGGACTGCAGCCAGAGTGCCCACCCAGTGCATGAGGTTAGCCAGGTAAGGATATGTGATGACTGCCTAATACATGCTGCAGGATAACCTGTAACATGCAGCATAAGGGACATGATCAAGAGGGCCCCAGAGGTGGGCCCTGGAAAGAGTAGCTAACACTATGAATCAGATAGCACAGCTCTTCCTACAGATATTAGGGTAGGTCCAGCAAGAGCCCTGAGAAATATTCTCAGAGTCTAGAAATTGCACAGTATGAAAACATCCTGAGCAAGGAAACACTTCACGTTACATTATTAATATATGCACAGAACTCAGTTTCTACTGATTTCAAATTAAATTTTAAGTTAAGCTTATGCTTTAGCACTTCCCTAAAAAGGAATGAATTCCTGAATTTGGGACTGACAAAAATCTATCAAAGCATATCATAACAAGATTAAGTTCTGACTTCTATAAGGTCTAACCTGCAAACACGGGCTTAACTGGAAAACATTACTGGAATGTGAAGCAAGCAAAACTTAAAATAGAACAGCAGCATGGTTTGAACATTTTAGAACATGGACAATGGACTATTTACCAAGGGCTGTGAAAATTCTCCAATGCCTGTAGGTCTTTGAAACAAGCATGTCTTTGTTCAACAATGATGCTAACAGATGGGAGAAATTTTTTGCCTGGAATATGCTGAATGGTATAATGATATTTATACATTGTCAATTCTTAAAATTGATTAATCCTTTTTTTTTTTCTTTAAATAAGAAATGTTGGCTCACCTATACAGTGGAGTTAAGAAAGTTATTCCAAGCAGCATATTTTTAAGCAGTTGAGGCTTCTATCTCTCACATGATTCATTCTTGCAAAGTCAAAGATTTAAACCTGTTCAGCCATTTCACATTGTCCATTCAAAATACCAATAGTCTTAAAAGGAGGGCACAGCAACATGTCAGGATTTTTCTGCTTTGGTTTTGCATGTAGGTTTCAAGCTTCATTGGCCCAGGAGCACATAGCAGTAAGTGGAGGAAGTCATTTTCATGTTTAGTCTTAGAAACAATCAAGATTTTTGGTAATCTGGACTGGCAATAGCAGTAAACGATTCTTCTTCATTTTTCATTGTCTTTTCCCTTTCTGGTTAAAAAAACCCCAAAAAGCAACCATGAAACAAACAAAAAAAAAAATTACAAAAAGAGAATGAGAAGTACTTGTTTTCTAAAACCACCAGAATCAGTTTAGCTGAGGGACTTTTCTGGACTAAGTTACGTTTTAAGCAGAGGACTTGCTCTTTAACACTACATAGCTATGAAAACCCTCACTTGCTGGGAGAAGACAAAGATTCCAGTAGTGTTGCTTCAGCTCTCAGCCTTTGCCTCCATTCTGCTGGAGGAGCAATATCCTGCATTGCAGCAATGTTTTTCAATCACACTGTCCCTGCTCTGAATTTGTGTTGCTTGCCACTGCTCTTCACAGCACTCTAAGGTCTCTGAGAAACCTGCAGCAAGGGAACAGTCCTAATTCTGTACCACTGAAAGATGCCTTCTGCATCTCAGGACACTTTCCTTGTTACCTTGTCAAAGTTACAAGGAGTTATTCATCCAAGTAAAAAGCT